TTTTTTTTTTTTTTTTTTTGCTCGGGGAAGCTCAGTTCTCAAGGAGTCCTCGGTAAGAAAGTCACGTGTAAAATATATCCTCGTGTGGACTTCGAAAACTGATCGTACAAAAAAAAAAAACCAAAAAAAAAAAAAAAAGTCTGAAAAATAAATTAGAGAATTCAAAGCGTCTTCGCCAGCGGAGCTGGACATCAGGCGGTCCTCACGGAGCCGTTGGCACCGCCGCTCCTGCTGTAGCTCGGGTCATTCTTTTCCAGCCACATTTCGGCCAGCTGCTGCGTGGACCCGTAGGTGGAGGCCTTGGACCCCAAGCACATTTTATACTGTTTGGGATCAAGGTTGGGGTCGCAGAAGACGGGATGGTGCACGTGGACGACTCCGACTTCCTGGCTCCGGAACGTCTTCAGGCCGGCCTGGACCACCTTGTTGAAAAGGTCCACGTCCTCCAGCCCCCAGCCTTGGATGGAAACGTCGAAGCCGCCCACCCGGACGAGGTCTCCCTTATAAATGCAGGTGATGCCAAACCCGTAGTTTCTCCAGAAGCCCGTCTTCTGGGTGAAGGCAAAATGGTTGTCGCTGGGAACTTTCCCGCTATAAACAATCTTTGGGTCGTACTGGCTGAAGATGATTGGGAAGTATATCTGCTGGCCCAGCACGGTGTTGGCACGGCACCGCTGCAGGAACTCCGCCGTGAACACGAGGTCGACGTCGCAGAAGAACAGCAAGGACTCGTTGGTGAACTGGGACGACCCGACTTCCAGGGCCAGGGCCCTGGAGAACTCCCCGGACACGGGCAGGATCTGCATGTCGGCCTTCGGGTACTTGCCGCGATAGTCCCTCATGAGCTCCACCTGCTTGGCCTTGTCGGGGTTGGAGTCGGAGTTGAAGAGCAGCACGACCAGCTTGACGTTCTGGTTGGGGATGAGACACGTCTTCTCGAAGTTCCCCATGAACCTCGCGAACATGTCGAAACGCCCCGACAGGGGGATCAGGATGTTGATCTTCTCTTTGGGTTCCTTGCGTTCGTTCTTCGACCCGGGGAGCTGGAAGGGCACCAGCTTCTTCAGCGAGTTGGAGAGGAAGGACAGGGACCCGGACTCCCGGTTGATCTTGGCGGCCAGCTCCTCGGCGTCCAGCGCCTCGTGCTCCACAAACTGGATCCTGCTGAAGGTCTGCTGGAGGTAGGCGTGTCTCCGCACGGGCACGGTCATCTTCTTCCCTTTGTGTTTCTTGTACAGGAGCAGCAGGTCCAGGATGTACTCGGCCCCGTACATGGGGTTCACGCGGCGATAGCCGTACTGGATCTCCTTGAAGTCAATGACGCGGCCCCTGGTCTTGGCGTTGGCGTTGATCATCTCCATGACCTGCATGACGATGTCGTCCAGGGCCTCCCTCTGCGCCGAGTCCAGGCCCCTCCTCGGCGGCTGCCCGTCGGCGGCCGAGTACAGGTACTTGCCCGTCAGGAACTCCCACTCCAGGATCTCCTCCCGCTGGCGGGGCTGGAAGCGCGTGAAGGAGGGGGGGAGCCCCAGCTGCAGGTCCTCCTTGTGGGTCTCGGTGTTGCTGTACTTGCTCATCAGGACGATCTCGCGGTGAAGCTGGATGGTGCGGTGGCGGAGCTCGGCGATTTTGCGGCTGAGCACGTAGCTGTGGAGCCGGTACTGGTAGGGCGGGTTTTTGTTGGGGTGCAGCGTGATGGCCCGGTGGATTTTACTGTTGTGGAGATCTCTAATGTACCCCTTTTTGTTCTGTTCGTAATTCTCGTAAAAAAGCTGCTGCATCTGTTAAGGAAGAAAAAGACAGCTTTCTTAATACCAGGTGACTGGGCGTCCCTTGATTTTTTTTTATGTTTCTGTTGCGTTACATACCTGCACGTTTTTTTAAAAAACCCTCGCCTGAGGATATTTTTCCACTGATTTTTAGAGAGGATGCAAGGGGAGGAGGGAGGAGGGGGGAGAGAGAGAAACATCGACCGGTTGCCTCCCGCATGCAACCTGGCCAGGCCCAGGGATCGAACCTGCAACTGTGGGGCCGACGCTCTAACCACTGACCACTCCGGCCAGGGCCATACCTGCATATTTAAAAAAAAAAAGAAATCTAAATATCTGAAATCCTTCTACATGAGCCACAGCACACCAAAGGCCCTGGGAAAGCCCGGTCTACAGCAGCCCACGGAGATCAGGACTAATGGCTATAAACTGCGGAAAGAAACAAGACTTCCCCAGCGTGACCAGAACTGGCCAGTAAATTCTGCAGCCAAAGGGAAGAATGAATAAGTTTTCCCAGGAAGAAAAATCGTAAGCTCGACATCCCAAGGTCGCTGCAAGTGCGCACTTTGAAAATCCTTTAGCCCGGCCGGCGTGGCTCAGCGGTGGAGCATCGACCTAGGATCCAGGAGATCGCAGTTCGATTCCCGGTCAGGGCACAGGCCCGGGTTGTGGGCTCGATCCCCAGTAAGGGGCATGTGGGGGGCAGCCGATCAATGACTCTCATCATTGATGTTTCTCTCTCTCTCCCTCTCCCTTCCTCTCTCTGAAATCGATAAAGATATTTAAAAAAAGAAAAAAAAGAAAGTCCTTCAAACGCCCGCATGCTCCTCACGTCGGGTCCTCTGTGGGGGTTGGGGGGGCTCTGCTCGCTCAGCACCGGCCCCCAGCACAGCGCCGCGTGTGTGGGGCTCACAATGCCAAGCGAGGGGCAGGCAATGCAAGGGGGCTTCACAGCCCACCCCGCGCTCCCTCTGTCCTATGATACGGGTTCGGGGGAACAAAAGTTTGAGGTCCATCAGCCAACATGGGCCACTCCCTTAAGTTGGATAGAGAACAGACTCAACTCCCCGGCACATTCGAACCACCACGTGACGGAGTCTAATGAACGTCTGCCGAGCCACTGCAACCCACACAGTAACAAAAACATATAGATCAGCGTTTTTACATACGATTTCCTTTCTATATACAATAAGCTCCCAATAAATGAAGCCAGTGAGAGTAAAAAGAAGGGTAATAACTTCCAAAGAACGCCTTAAAATAAAAAGAGCGCGCGGAGGGCCAGCTGGCTCTGGCGAGGGTTCCGCGCAGTCCCCGCTCGCTGGACTCTCAGGTAGCGGCGAGACGGGCCAGCGCTGACCTTCGGTCCCCAGCTCTGCTTCCCCATCCTCTGGGATCACGGGGGTCCCCCCCCACCGCGAGGGGATACAGCAGGGAGGCAGCCGCCTGCAAACCGGGCAGCGGGCCCTCGCTAGAGCAGGGCCATGCCGACGGCCTGACCTCGCGCTCGCGGCCTCCGTCTGAGCCGCCCAGGCTGCCCGATTTTTGTTCCAGCGGCCGGGCAGGGACGCCGAGCCCTGCAGGGCACAGGAGGGCAGCGCAGATGCTCACTGCCTCCATCTCCGGGGCCAGCTCGGGGCGGACACACCCCGGGGTGCTCAACAGACAGGCGAGAGCTAGTCGTAAGCGGTCAGGTCTGTAAGCAGAGCGAGCAGGAAACTGCTGGGCGGCCTCGCAGAACACAGCCGACGAAGCTGACACGGTGCCATATGCTTGGCAGCTAACATACAGGGGCTGGGCCGGCTCCTCGGACCAGGACGTATTTTATTTTATTTTTTTAATATATCTTTATTGATTTCAGAGGGAGGAAAGGAGAGGGAGAGAGAGAGAGAAACATCAATGATGAGAGNAGCCCAAACGCGCCGGAGCACGGCGGGCGAAGGATGTTAAGGTTAGAGTCAAGCCCTCGTAGGCCCCTCTGGCTGAGCTCCAGCCGTCTGGCTGAAAGGAGTGTTGTGCTATAGTCTCTTTTTTTTTTTAAATGAAGAAATCTATTGCAAGACAAAAGTCTGTGTGTGTGTGTTTGGGGCAGGGAGTACTTATTTTATTAAAAATAAGGTCAAGCCCGCCCAGGGGTGGCTCAGCGGTTGAGCGTAGACCTAGGATCCAGGCGATCGGGGTTCGATTCCCGGTCAGGGCACAGGCCCAGTTGCGGGCTCGATCAACGACTCTCTCATCATTGATGTTTCTGTCACTCTCCCCCTCTCCTTGAAATCAATAAAGATATATTTAAAAAAATAAAAAAATAAGGTCAAGTCTACGCGCCGACTAGCCGGTGACCCGCACACTGTGGCACTCAAAGGACTGACTTAGCACGACAACCGGCACAGCCAGGACACAAATGCTTCAGAAAAGGGCGCCACCTGCCTGGCAGGCTGGCTGGGACACGTACCGGCCGCGACCTTAAGAAACCTAAACAACAACAAAATTTTTTTTTTTAACTTTTATTAAACTTACTGCGGGAACACTGGTTAATGACATTATATAAATTTCAGGAGTACAAGTTCATAACATGACACTCTACTCCGTGCTCGGCACCGAAGCCTAGTCTCCTCCCGGCCCGTACGTGTGACCCCCTTTCCCCCTGGGGACACATTCTTTCGTCTGTATCTCTGACTTTCCTTTCTCGTTTGTTTTCACGTTTGTTCATGTGTTGCTTTTTGTTTTCTACCACACATGTGAGTGAATCATACGGTTCCTGTGCTTTTCTGTCTGACTTATTTCGCTGAGCACGACGCCCTCGAGGTCCACCCGCGTCGCCGCGAGTGGCACTATTTTATCTCTTCTTACGGCTGAGCAGTGTCCGCCGTATATGAGCCACACCCACCGAAGGACACTTAGCTGTTTCCGTGTCTTGGTCACTGTGAATAATGCCGCAGGAAGCATAGGGGTGCACGTCTCTTTACAAATAAGTGTTTTCGAATCTCCTGGGTGGATACCCAGAAGCAGGGTTGCTGGATCTGGCAATTCCCTGGATTTGGCGGGACCAAGGTCAACGGTCCTTAAGCAGTATAATTGTGTGACTAGAGTGAGTGTTTAGCGAGCTCCTGGTTAGAAAAATAAAAGTAGTATTTATCTGGAAGGAAGTTTAGAATATAACAATTAAAAAAAAAAGGGTAAGAAATAAGACTGTATAGGGACGTTTATTGCTTTTATGCTGCTAAGACGTTGCAAGACCTTGGAGAAGTCCCCTGAACTTGCGGGGTCTCGGGTTTCCTGAGCGATAAAATGACTGGACTGGACTAGAGGTTCCTTCAAGCAGAGGAAGCCAGGCTCTCGCGCGCTGATCTGAGGACCAGCGGCAGGGACTTCCAAGGTCCTGGCCCGAGACCCGGGCACCCGCCCGCCCTGATGTGGCCGGAGGCGTTCTACCTGCATCGGGTCAAAACGTATCCGCGGCATTCAGGGGTAATGACAGGTAACGCACACGGGTTATTAAATAACCACAAGGCTTTTCTCACTTAAAACACAGCACAGAAGCTTTTTAAAGATGCCCTTGGCACCACCGATGGTTTCGCTTAGTAGCCGGTGTCCACACAACAGCCCTCGGTTTTGTTCTGAAGGGTACCCCCGTGATCCCGGCCTCCAGCAAAGCCGTCCCCCACACTGCGAGACGCCCCAGGACTCTGAGCCACTCCAGGGGAAACCTGAGAGGGGCTTATAAAAGCCGAGGTCACACTATTCCCAGGAACTTCTGGCCCAGCTGCAATAACCACCAACTACCCACGTCTCGTCTCCGGTTAACGACGACCTGCTAGGTCCCCACAGCCAGGGTCCTTGCCGTCCTCTGCACCCCCCGTAAGGCTCGGCCCTCCCCGGGGGCTGCTTACAGTAACGCCCGTCCCCACGGACGTGCCTCAGCCGCTCAGCAGGCTGCCGCCGCTCCAAGCCGACATCCAGCTCCAATTCTGATTTGTAAGCACTTCAATCCATGGCAGAGAATTTGTTTTCTTAATTTTTTTTTTCTCTTTCTATTGGTTGCCTGGCCAAACCTGCAGCCCAGGTACGTGCCCTTGACCGGGACTCAAACCCGTGACCCTCCTGCGTGCAGGCCGATGCTCTAACCACTGAGCGCCATGGCCAGGGCTGCTTTAGTTTCCTTTGTCCCGAAAATCGGCTCAGAGAAAACCCGGTGCCTGAATGTCAAGACACCCGCCGTAAGGGGTGGTAGTTTCCAAATAGCCACCCGCAGTCGCAGGTTTTAAACATTTTAACTGACATTCTCATGGGCCTACAGGTAGGGATTCCAGATGAGTTACTGCTGACGCGGGACTTTTCAGATGAACGCGGAAGTCTGTTAATAATTAGGCCAAGACCGCAGCCGAAACCGGGCCTGTCCCCGGCTCTCAGGGCATAGGGTCCCCGTATTAGGTCTCTTCTAATTAGTTTTCTGTAGGTTTTCCCCAATTTTCATCCAGTGAAGTTCAAGGATTAGCTACTTTGTATTTTGAAGACTCCACTCAAAAAAGTAAACTTTTTATGGGCATTCAGCTGGGTCTCTTGTGGTAAAAACGAGAACTGTATGTACGCGTCTTGAGCGGTTAGCGTGACATTCTGAAATCTAACTGCCTTTTAGAAAAGTCCGACCCATTTCAAAATAAGCGAGAACGGAGCCGGGCAAAGTAAAACAGAAACTGTTGTTAGTGATGCCAATCTACGCAGGACAGGAAGCGCCGTGGCGACGCTGAAGTTTGCGG